AAAGAGGGGAAAAAAACCCCAGTCTTCTTCTCCAAAAAACCTCAATTCCAGTAATAATAGCTAAGTGGGGGGGGGGGGAAGTAGAAAAGTAACACTAATGAAAAAAAGAAAGAGTAAAGGGAGAAAAAGAGAGAGAAAAAGAGAGAGAAAAGAGAGGAAAAAAGAGAACACTGCCACTATATAGAATCCAAGCCTCTTTTGTTAAATTCCAAACAAAGTTAACAATTCTCTTTTCAAGGCCCCTGCAATCTTCTTTCTTTCAATTCCAAGCTTTCAACTTTCTTTCAACTCCAGACTCCAACCACTGATGTTACCTAGAGGAGCACCTGTATAAACAATCTTCCGTGCCCATCCCACTATCATTTTCAATAAACAAGCTCAGAGTCCTTAAAATATAACACCAACTCTTACTTTGTTCAAGATTATCAAATGCTCAAAGAAAAGGAAAACAATGTTTCGAAGCCTCTAGATGCCAGTGTTACTTATCTTCTTCTACTTTCACTTCCCTCCTTATATTCCAAACTAAAGGAAAAAAGAATTTTTTAAAAAAAGATACAATAGGGCAACGATGGCAAACTTTTTTGCCATTGCATGCCAAAAGCGGAGGGAGCACACGGGGGGTCGTGCGCTAGCGTGCTACACCCATGCTATACATGTGACCCCACACATTTTTTACCCTCCGGAGGCTTCAGGGAAGAGAGAAAGCAAGAGAGAGAAAGAGAGGAGGGAGATGGGGGGATGTATGCATGTATATATTTGGAGACAAATCAAATCAAATGTAAATGCAAGCAAGAAATACAGAATTTGGCTCAGATCACTAGAGTCAGTCCTGCTGACTGGAAAGCAAGTTCTTTGGAACAAGAATCATACGGTGCTCAGCACACCCTAGAGTGGCTCAAAAGGGATCTATTTTGCAGGTGGGGCTTTTGTCTCCTTGGAGGCAGCCCGCCCAATGCTTCTTCCTCCACCCGGGTGGGGGTGGGGGGAAATGGAGGCAGGTGCAGACCAGGAGATGGTGCTGGTCTGTTTCAGGAGGACGAGCAGAGAAAAGCACAACATATGCAGCTGGGATCAATACTGGGATCCAAAGCAAAAGACGCCCCATGCCTGCAGAGGGACAACGATACCTGTCGTTGCTGTTTCTGACTGAATTGCTGCTCGAAGACTGGCTCCTAGAACCGCTTCCGCTGGGTGATCGACTGGATCTGGACGCTTGGCTCGCCAGCCTCTGGGGAGACTGTGTCCTGGACTGGAAGGAATGGGGTGACCGGCTCCTGCTGTGCTGGTAACTCCTTTCCGACCTTCTACCTCGGACCTCCCTGGTGAGGTCATCCCGGTAGATATCCCTGTGTACCACGCTGGGCAACGTAAACTGCTCCCGAGCCCGAGGTTTGTAATGAGGGTCATGAGCATCAAAGCGGCTCGGGCTGCGACTCCGAGAACTGTAATAGAGTCCGTGTTGCAAAGTCCGTTCCCGAGGATCCCGGTAATAATCCTGGTCGTAATGCCTCGTGCGATCAAATCCTCCTGTCCCCCGTTCATGGTGTCCATAGGCACTAGGCTCATAAGCACGCTCCCTGTTATCTGAAGCCCTGCATTTAGGAGGGGAAAAACAAAGTACG